ATTATTATTATTATTATTATTATTATTATTATTATTATTATTATTATTATTATGTACTTACTTTTCCTGCGGGCTGTCGTTGTACTTGGCCGCCATGCTGCGCATCAAGTCACTGAAACTCCTGCCCTCTAGCGGCGAATCTTTTGGGTCCATACTCGGCTGCTGCTGCTGCTGTTGTTGCTGCTGATGCTGTTGTTGCTGCTGCTGTTGATGTTGTTGGTGGTGTTGTTGTTGTTGTTGTTGTTGTTGTTGTTGCTGAAAGGGGGTTCCTCTTCTGTGCATGTCCATCGGTACTAGTCCTGGCATGAACGGGGGCCACCCTTGCGGGGGTCGCAACATGGACGGATGGAAACCGGCAGGGGGAAGCGGGAACGCGGACTCCATGTAGTCGCGCGGGCTGATCGGTGTGGGGCGATAGGGGAAGTGGTAGCCGGGAGACTCTGGCGCCTTCTGCGTCGGCGCCGGGGATTCCCGCTCCTGCTTCACGGGCACGACGACGTCGACCGACGACAGCTCTGGCGACGTCGCCGAGCGACGGTCGACGAGGCCACTGTGCTCGCTCAGATCCGATTCGCTCGTGACGCCGTCGGTAGCGACGTCTTCCGGCGACGACGACGACGACGACGTCTCCTTGGCGGCAGCAGCCTTGGCGAGAGCAGCGTCGATATCGCCCACTGCGCGATTCTTCAGTTCCTTGATGGTCATTTCTAGTCGGCTCGGTCGACCGCGGTATGCAGTCGGCGACGGCGGCAGTGGGGATGCATCTGCTTGCAGAGCTGTGACGGCTGCAGCAAGAGCAGAGAAGAAACACACGTTACACGACTGCACACACTATAGATAAACTATACATTACGTGCACACACGCGCGCACACGCACACGCTCACACGCACACGCGCTCACGGAATAACACACGGGAGATGATTGTGCGCTTATTGCGGTCAACCGTAGGCACACATACGCGCACAAACGCACGCACATGCACACACACACACACAGAAGACGTACGCATGCACGCACGGACGCACGCACGCATGCACGCACGGACGCACGCACGCACAGACGCACGCACGCACGCACGCACACGAGCGCACGCACATGCAAGCACACACAGAAGACACATGCATGCACACGAGCTCACGCGCGCACGCACGCACGCACGCACACGGGCGCACGCACATGCACGCACACACAAAAGACACATGCATGCACACGGGCTCACGTACGCACGCACGCACACGGGCGCACGCACATGCACGCACACACAGAAGGCACATGCATGCATGCACACCCTTCATGTGGAGCAATGAATTGTAATTATTCATACCGTAAATGCGCACATATGCACGCAATAAGCACCACACACTGTCCCGAAGCAACGTCTTCTGTGACACAATGAAGAATAGCATCACGTGAAATGCCACATCATTCCACCGACACATCACTCGCACACACACTCACGAGGCAACGCTTCTGTGAAACAATGAAGAATACATACCACGTAAATGCAACATATGCAAGCGAACATATGCACACACACTCGACGAGCAAACGCCCTTCTGTGAAAGCGGAACTGAACGAATAGCGATACACGTAAGTGCACATATGCACGAACATATGGCAGCACAGCAGCGTCACGAGCGAACGCACTTTCTGTGAAACAAATAAGCAATACATACACGTAAATGCACATATGGCACGACACACAATCCGGCGCGCACACGCACGTGCGCTCGGGTACCCGCGAGGTGTGTTAGACCTGCCGCTTACACCCACCCCCCCCACACACAGGTCACGCACCCCCACACACACGACGCACAACCGGGCTGGCACACGGCACACCATAGGACAGACGTCCAGACGCAGACACATACCTCGCCCCTCCCCCACACAACACACACACACAGGCGGGCAGCGAACACAGCCCAGCCGCACAGCAGCGACAGCCAGCACACACAGAGACAAGCCTGCCACACCACAGACACATCCAGCATACCCGCCCCCGCCGCTTCGCCAACACCAAGCACACGTGCAACGCACTATAATAGAGAGAGCGCAGCGCGCGTCGTGGAGGGATCGGGGAGAATTGACAGGTTAGTGGGGCAGCCACGTTTACACGGCGCCACGATGATACGGCGTTGGCCTAAAGTTGCGCTACTGACACTGCTTGCGAAAGTGATCTGCGTAGGATTTGCGCGGACTAAAGCGCAGCGCGCGTTGGAAGCACCTCACCCCAGAGAGAGTGAGAGAGGGAAGGTATGTGGGAAGGGTGGGCTAGTAAAAGACCGATTCCCGTGTCTCTGCTATGTGTGGCAGAGAGTGCTCTATCGGTACAGTGCGGCTCGAAAGCTGTCGCGTTTGACCCCGCGGCAGATCCCCCCGCGCCCACCCACTAAGCCAAGGAGGCTACGTTGGAGCTATCCTGCGGGCGCGTGCGGTAGGTGAATGTTCGCGTTGAAAAATCGAGCATTCTCTTCTGTATATGACTGTCTGCGTTGGCCAGGCGAAATCCCCAACTGGCCGCGAAAAAGAAAAGTTGAGAAAATACTGACGCACATCAGTCCACTGGTCAAAGACGCGTGCTGGAAAGCCGTGAGAAGAAAAGTGGGAGAGGAGGGAGCAGCTAAGCGAGAGAGAGAGAGAGAAGAGAAAAGAGAGAGACAGAGAGAGATGGTGAAAGAGAGACACGAGAAGGGCGCAAAAAAAAAGAAGAGAGAGGGAAAGAAAGGAAAGCGAGACTGAGGAGCCGCGAGCCGCGGAGAGAGAGCGTCAGTAGAAGGAGGGAAGTAAAGAGGAGGCGAGCGCCGCGCCGACCGACGAGAGACGAAGAGGCAGAGAGCAGAGCGTGCGACAGAGGAGGGAGAAATGAGAGAGAGAGAAGACGAGAGAGAAGAGAAGAGAGAGAGAGAGAGAGAACGAGAAAGCGACGAGAGAGAGACGGAACAGAGAGCGGACGGAGAGAGAGAGAGAGCAAAGAGAGAGAGAAAGAAAGAAATAGAGAGGGAGAGAGAGAGAGAGAGAGAGAATATATGCGAGAAAGAAGAGAGAAAGGCGAGAGAAAGAGGAGAGAGAGAGAGAGAGACGGCGCAGGATCAATCGGCCATAGTCGCAAGTATGCAGGTCTTTCGCTCGATAAAAAGACACAAAGAATTAGCGACCGCGCGTCGAGTATAAGCGAGAGCCATGTGTGTCGTACCGCCATGGACGGATCGTCTGGTGGCCGCACCAGCGGAATATATAGCATCCATAGCCATGCACATCGCGGTAGTTTACTTGTGCGCGTTGCACCGTGGCATCCTATCGCTCTATCTTCCATCCGGCAGGGTGCCGCGGCGCGGATGAAGAAAAGTATGCTAGTTTGATAACACGCAACATTCGGGAGCTCAGAATGAAGGAGCGAGAGAAGTGGAGTCATAGGATATCTGGAGGCCGCATAAATAAGTTATATATAGAATTAGTTTAGCAATACACGTCCTGGTAATACGCAATCGCGATGCGACCTCATTATTCACGGATTTCACTTTGTATCGTAGAATTATCTCGAGTTAAACTGCGTCTGATTAAATAAATACAATATAATAGAGAAACACTGAGTATATATGGAGAGGAGCTTAATTGATTCAGCTATAATGTTTGTATCTGGTGAACTCGTCCTGTCGAGAGTCGCGCAATACTACACAGAGAGCGAGGCAAGATATAAAGTTGTTAGCGTTGCCTCTGTTTCATTGCATGGCAGACAGTTTACGTGTGGAAGAGCTCCCACAGCTCATTCAGTGCCCTAGATCACGAGACATAAAGCTCATAGGCACTGATGGCTGGTGGCACGGCACTGCCGCTCAACACGGAAACAGCTGTGCGTGGATATGCAAGTAAACAGGAGGCGGCGAGGAGTAGAACTTTGGAATGAGGGATGATATATATATGATACTAGAGGTGTACGTATAGCGTACCTAGTATAGTATAGTATCGCTACGAACATGAGCAGCATAATGACGCAGTGTGCGGAGCTCTGGATAGAATATTCACGGCGTGACGTCACACATGTATTGACATGCATTCGTGAAATTGCTGCGTGCGCGCGCGTAAACTTATGTCCTCATGACTCGCGAACAACAGTTACAACGTGGCCAGCATAATCAAAATGTGCATGTAATAAAATTATACTAAACGCGTAAATAGCATGTGAGGTATTATTATGTGTAGAAGAATATGCATGATTATCGCATGAAGATATATCAACTAGTTTTCCCAACACGCCCAGAGTTTCAGAGAACTCGGGGTGGGGTGAGCAATGCTTCTAGCGTTCTATTGTTGACAAGTTATTAATGTTGCATACGAGTGAAGATTCCGTAGTTATAGCTACGCGATAGCCAGCTATTCATATGTTAATGAGCTGTTTAAATTGAACTTTAAGGCTGGTTCACAACCGGGGGCGTGGCGTTGTCAGAAACAAAATTATTTTAATATTAGTCTTAATATTAACTTCGACTCGTAACCCTTTGACAGAAACCCTTTCAATTGCTATCCTTTGCCCTCCCCCTCTTTCTCGCCCTTACGCGCGACCTATCTTTCTTTCCCTCTCTCATTCTCGCTGCCTCATTTGTCCTCGCACGTGAGCGCGCTCGTCTCTGCTCTCCTTCTCTCCCACACACAGAGAACACACACACACACCAAAGGAGCGTACAGCTCACAGCAGCCTCAGCACACAACGCACACACACACACAACAGCACACGACACGACACTGTCGCGCACACACATATATAAGCATACACACCACACACACATACATTACAATCACACACATACACACACACACACATCACACACCGGCACACACCCCACACACACCACACACACACACCATAAACACACACACACACACACACGCTGCTCGCTTGCCCCTCGCGCGGTGCGCGCGATCGCTCTCTCTTCTGGTCT